GGCTGTGCCCGGGTTGGGCTGCCTGGGTGCCGCCGGGACAAGAGGAGCGGTACCCCCTGTCCTGTCCTGCCGGTGAGGCTGGAAAAAAAATAGCTGTAGGGGCTGAAGTCCGCCTGATGTGCCGTGCCCCGTGCCTCCGTGGGGTGTCACAGGGGGCTCACGACCAGCTTTTATCGGAAGGCGTCGTATCAGCGAGGGGCAGAGGTGCGCTGCCCTTGCTCGGCGTGCGGGCTCGCTGACTAACAGCGTCTGAGGGGAAAGTGCTGTGGAGGGCTCGAAATTCAAATGCTTTGTCTTTATGTGCAGCGCTGCACGAACTCATTTACGTCTTCATGAGCGTCTCCACTGTTACTTCTTGTTCTCTGTCTGCTGTTTTGTTGGGCCTTGCTTTCTTTGTTTCTGTGATATTTTTTTGAAACTTCTGGCTTTGCACGTTTTACAGACTCTGTTCTGTGGTGGGACTGGCAGCTGCTTCCTGAACACTTGGCGAACCCTGTCAAGTTTTCTATTTATCTTGCCTGTTCCAGCAATTACTTCCTTGTGACCCCCATCCTTTCATGCTGTAAAAAAATTTTACTCTATTTCTGTTCTTTGCTTTAATCATCTGTTCGCTTCTTTGTGCCATCGCATGTATTAAGAGTCTTAGATGTGGATTCTTCTGTCATACTTTTGGTTTTCATAAAAATTAATCTGCTTTCCATGTTTTGAAATCCAGTCTTAAAGAGAGAAACAAGTGAAAATTCAGAAATGCAATAACTTAGTTATGAATTTGAAAAGAAGTGTAAGCATGGCCACTATCTAATTCTAAAGATACAGGCAAGATGATGAACTAAACAATATTTGTTGCTTACTTTTTTCTTTAGGCTTTCAAGCTTTCTGATTCTGTACAACTTTGTAAATAGATGTACATCTAGGAGAGGTTTGCTGACGGAAATCTGTGGACTTCTATCACTTAATAGTGTTTAGTGTTGTAATTATACTGTAGGATTTCTTGCCAGAGACTTGTAAAAATTGTTCCTTTTGCAACAACAGCATTTAAAAAAAATCCAAACAAAACCCCCATCAATTTGAGCAAAATAAGTTATGCTAGTAACTTTTTTTTTTAGTAGCCATAGAGAGCTTTTGCTAGTGTACTGTTTTTAACCATAAGAGAAAAAAAAATCTCATCGTTTAACCAATGGTCCCAAGCATAGACCAGACGTGTAATGCAAACATGCCATTAAAATGTTAAGAGTTCTCCTGTCTTGTTCCCACAAGACTTAAGATGTGTTAATGAGACAGTGCTTCTAGCAAAACATAGGAGTTAATGCTTCAGAGTGGAGACTAGAGCCGTGGGTCTTGCACCACTGGGGCAATTAGGATGGTGAATGCAGGGTACTACTTGGGGTCTGCCCCAAGAGCATGTAAGAAAATCTCAGAACTGTGATTGATCGCAGCATCTCACCTCTTGCTCTTGTTTGCTTGTCCTCACCTTTTCTGTATGTCTAACGCTTGAAGGTGCAGGATTGCTTTGTGTGTCAGGTGGAACAAACATGCAGCAGATGTTATTTGTGCATGTTATTGCAACACGGAGAGTGTTTTCGTAATGGAATTATGGTCAGAATATGAGACTCTGTATAGAAAAAGATGGAATTGATTGAAGGGACTACTTTTAATTATGTTAATGTTATGAAATAGTATAAAGCTGGTTTAGTATTGAAGGAGTTCATACATGTTACTCTTACAAAGTGTCGTAGTTTAGCTTATGTCATGTTAACTTGATGGAAGAACAGGTTGAGGTGCATACGTGAATGATAGCATTTGTATCTTCTTTGGCATGTCCTCGTCATTCAAGTATAGCAGCTTCGCAGCCTTAAGGCCTTGTCCAAATTAATTTGAAAAAAGTTATTGAGCTTGGTAGTTAGACTGTGCATGTGTGAGCCCTGATCTCCTGAGTGGGAGTTTAATGAGAAGAGTAGCTTTCAAGAGCGGAAAAAACCTTGATTAGTTAGAATTCTAAGTTTAGAGACTGTACTGGGAGTAAGTTCTGACCATAACATACTTTCACAGTGGAAAACTTGATTAAAATAACTTTTGGAGAAGAAACCAACTCAAAAAACCCTGCCACATTCAGCAAATACCAGCTTCAATTAAAATGGAGAGTGTTGATAAACCGAAAGGAAACTTCTTAAAACTGCCGGTTTCCTTGTTTTCAGCCTGTATGTTTTTGTATGGCCATATCACTGTGGTAACAGAAGGCTTTCTAGCAGCACAGTAGCAATAAGGAACAAATCATAAGTTTCAAAAATTATTTTTTTTTCTTCTTCCTTGAGCATACAGCATAATGCGGTTTGTTTGTTTTTAGTTTGATTTTTCACTGAATATATTTTTCCTGCAGTTATCCTTTATGTTAGAAAAGACATGGTCGAAGAATTTCCTCCAGACAGTGAGACTTCTTATGGTTTTACATTCTGGAATGAATGCACAGAAATTAAAACCTGACCTCTGAGAAAGTTGTCTTCTGCATAGACCACTTCAGTCCCTGTGATAGAAAGTTCATCTGTAGGTCCTCTTCATCTGGAAGATCAGTGTGCAGAACAAGTTAATATGGGTGTCGCATTTTGTTTGGTAACGGTATAATGCACAACCCTGATTTTGCATTCACTGACAAAAATGTATAGTAGTCACAGCTCAGCTGTATGATGTAATGTTTCTTGTGCAGAGATAGTTGAGGCTTGAATATGAAATAAGAACCACTGATTCAAAGTGACTTTTTTCCATAAAAATAAGTGTATTGTGTTTTTTTTGTTTGTTTATTTCCCTAACTCACTTAAGTACTTTGTGACAGGGAAATCTTAGAACCCTTTCCCTCTCTCTTGGTGGCTGACTCTATGAAATGCAGTTTATTGATTGTCCCTGGCAGTCCCAAAAAAAGTCTTAAAATTAAACTGTAGTTTATCACAGAAGTATTGGCCAAGTAGTCTAACAGATTCTGATCCAATGGGTTGTAGTTCTTGATCCTTAAGAATGAGCTGTTACTAGTTTTAAGGCTTCTCTTCCTGTTGCCAACTTATACTAAAGTTTTCCTATGCTTTATCCTTTTTAGTTTTTTTTGTTTGGAAGCCATGTTGTTATTTGTTAGTGGTTCATGCAAGCAAATGATGATGTTCTAGAAAACTTGAAAGAATGCCCTGTGCTACAAAAAGGCGTTCCAAAACAACAAGAGTGATTTTTATTACTTATTTTTTATTTGGCTATCCACAGACTGTTTAGGAGTATCTTTTCTGAATGGATTCTGTGTCAGTTGTCATTCCAGAAGAATGTATGCGTGTTGTTTTATCTTACACTTCAAGTGCTGAAATGGGAACAAGGCTACTTTATCTGTGAATGTTTAATTTAGAGTAATGTAGCTGTTTCTTAATGCAGAAATGATCCCTAATGTACAGACGCATTAAAGTGCACTCAGTAAGAATGTGGAATAATCCTAGCCTTAAAAGCAAGGTACAGAAATCTACAGTTTCAAAACTTGCAGAGAAATAGTTTGAAAAAGTTTAAAGAGCAATAGAAGTGTTTATTCCTGGCAACTTCTCTTCTAGCTATCTTTCTAAATGTTTGCATAGAGTTTGCATAAATGCCTGCATAGAGCTGATCTTTTGGTTGGTATGCAAAGAAATTCTACAAGTAGTTGATAGTGTTTTCATGTTGGAATGGTGATGGCATGCAGTACTTCACTGGGATATTGGTGCCACTTGTCAGTGCTACATGTAACAGATTGTTTTGTGCATGGCATCGCTGTGACTTAGCAGATAATGAACGTTAGCCAAGCTGTTTAATAAATGGTATGATACCTTAGCGGGTAATGGACAGTTTGCTTTCAGGTAGCTTTCTCTACAAAAGGACACAAAAATCTTAATAAAAATCTTTAGCATTTTTTTACAGGTATGATTTTGAAGGGATTTTTTTCTTATATGTTTCCTTATGTAAATAAAAATAAAAATCCTTGAAAAGTATAAATGCTTTGCAGTGGTAGTCTCAAATTAGTTGTTGCAGATTCGGCTGATTTACTTTAAACAAAAGGTTGATTAGATGCGGGTAAATGAGTGGGAAAACCTGCACTGATTTAATGGACCAAATTTTTCAGCCTGCTATTGAATAGGCCTTAGCAGGGAAGGCTGTTAGCTTTTCAGTGTGTTTACTTATGTTCTTAATTCATAGTACAAATTACACTTAAGATTGCTTGTTTTCTTATTTTTCAGGCCATACAGGACATATTGCTGATATGAATATATTTTTAGATGATCCAGAATTTGCAGAAATTATTCTGAGAGCAGAACAAGCTATAGAGTGTGGAGTTTTTCCAGAAAGAATCTCTCAAGGATCCAGTGGAAGTTACTTTGCCAAGGATCCAAA